GGCAAGAGGCCTCAGGAGCATCTAAAGGTTTTGTCAACACAGCAATGCCATCCATAGGCCAAAGACAGCTGTTGCCATAGTTACTATCAGCCAGCTTATCAGAAAATAATTATTGCGATTCCTCAGAAGTTTTGTTAAAACAATTAAAAGCTTCAATAGGATACCACTTGATCTCTTCAATTAACTGTTTGCAACTACACTGCCTTTGGGATCCACATGGTTAACAACGCTTGGATCTGCAGTGTTGAAGAGGAACAAGGGCAGGAATCAATGTTCCTTCTCCCTTTTCTACTGACAGCTTGTATTTCACAGGCAGAAACAAGGAAACCAAACCACCGAAAGCTTGGCTGCTCTGCTGGAGTTCTCTCGCAGGCCTGGAGACTGAGTCCAGGCACAGGCCATCTTAAGAGTCACAGGCTCAAATCTGCCCTTGTTTGTTTTAACCATTCACATATCTATACTGCAACTCAAGAAACACACAGACTACATTTTCAAAACCTATTTCTAATTACACTTGCAAAGATAGTCCCTCAATTCAGAGGCAGCCACCATAACTTCTGTATCAAGCGAACTTTCTCTTTTGACAAGTGCAGTACTGTCAGGTGGAGGGGCAGAATAAGAAAACAAACATTTTAAGAAATCACATTAAGAAGCACAGAAGCTATGCGAGCGTGGCCTAGAACTGAGACCACACGAAGCAAAGTCTCTCTCCTCTGCATACAACTTATAAATGCATTCCCACCAGTAACAACAAACATTAGGCTGGGGCTGGGGGTCTAGCAGGGGTGGGGGCGGAGTATTTGTTTTCTGGTGTGAGGTTTTTTAAAACATGCTTTGAGCATCCAATCTCCTCTAATCCAGGAGTGAGTACTTGTATTGACAGTGAAGAAGAAATCTCCGGCATGAGGGAACGAATAATAGGTCAAACCTTATAGGCAAAGAGCCTTTAAGGCACGAGGTACTTGATAATTCCATCAGAGATATTAAAATGATATAAACAGTAATCAGAAAATAAATGCTGCAGAGAAGCCTATATCAAGTAGCACTTTTCCTCAAAACCTGGTATGATCAAAGCATTAAAACAGAAGACTCCGTGGTAAACTTGGGGCTTTGTTAGGACAGTAGACAGGTCAATCCACTCAGACCAAAGGAAGGGTCCTGCCAGAACTTTCTACAGCTACAAAAATTATTTTAGGGAAAGACGATTCTAACTGCAAAATCTGACTGCCATGTGAGTGCGCCTTTCCTCATCACTAAACACATTTTAAAAACTCTTGATTTCTATACATTTTACAGCCATTCTATGAGCTATACTTGCCACTTCACTTTCGTAAGGTTTTGACCTAACAAAAGTAGAATCAAACGAACTCAAAATCATACAAGTGAGGAGTCCAGTGAGAACTTGGTATGGTGCAGGAGCCACAAATTATTTAAAACTTTCAAAAGAAACACAAGGGCTTTTCTTTTCTTTTTTAAATGAGACTGTACTTGCAATAAGAAAAAGAAAAAGGAAAACAAGAAAACACAAAGTTACCCCCCGCCAAATGTAAATAAAATTCTTTTTTGCCTGCATAATGCATCTCTCTACCACCAGCACAAGCCAAACACTGGCTTTGTGCTATACTGAACATGAAATATTAATGTAAGATACTTATAAAAACTATCCTTTTATAACCTCTATTTACATGGTAAAGAAGTAAGTATCTAGCCCCTTGCATTCAGCAGACATCTCAAAACCCTTCTGTGCTCTGCCCCACCTTTCCAGTATATGGTTTGTTCCTAAATAACCTTTGTGCTGTTAAAATACATCAGAAACAGGATGTGAGCTGCTTTCTGGCACAGAGTAATTGAACAAGGGCAATTCACGAACATACAGGAGCCAGGCCTTTTGTAGAGTCTTACACTTCTAGTATACAGCTACACATGTGACTGCACAGTTGTGAGCATAAAGGGTGAAGGGGACAGTGAAGAAATACTATTAGAAGCTTAATAATAGGTTTTTAGCACTGCTCCTTCTACACAAGAAGCCTCTCTCGAAGGAGAGGCTTTACAGTTCACATCCCTGTATGATGGCCCTCCAAAAAGCAAAGCCCTATCACAACTATGAAGTTTTTTCTGGAGGATTTTAAACAAGTAAAACCAACAAACCAGAAACAATAGTAAAAAAGGCTAAGTCACCAACATGTGTTTCTCACATGACAGTCATCTTGAGTTTCTGGTATCCAGAAAAAATGCCAATAACATATGAAATAAGATAGTCCATCAAGGTTCCTTCAAACTGGACTAAAATGAAAGAGAAATCTCCATTGTAAACAATTTCCAGTATCAATTCATTTGACCAAATAAAGTTCTTCAGGGTTCTGAGAATAAGTATAAAGGAACTGAACAGCTACAATGTGTTCATTATAAACAAACTGCATGAGCAACCCAAGTGATAGCCAGGCTTACTATCAAAGCTTTCCAACAGCACACGGAATTTTACAACTTTCTAAGGAGTCAATAAAACACATTTTATTTTCAAAAACAAACAAACAAAAAGAAAAGTGCATGAAAATTGTATCCCTTGTACAGATCCACTCCAAGACATTTTTAACTATTTTTTTTGAACCATAATTTCTAAGGTGAACAGGCACATAGAAAACATCATCTCTAAAAAAAAGAGAAGTTGAAGTAAGAACTATTTAGGCCCAATACTTGAAGCACAGCTGAAGCTGAATGGCTTAGGGTGAAGAAAGACCTTTACAAAATCTAAACTCAAAGCAGAGATTTCGCTGTTGAAGCTGGAAAACACAACAGCACGTTTTTTTTTCTGAGCAACATAAGTTTTAATTTCCTCGTTTTGCTTTAAGTTCCTTGAAAGAAAAGTTTTTTATTTTCATTCCCTAAAGAAAGAAAACCACTTTCAAATGCTTTCTTCCAATTCACAACAAATCCAGTTCAGGAAGCACATAGAGAAGAGCAAAGATTAAAAGCTTTCCCGTAGAAATCTTACAATAACTAATGGCAAAATAATTATTAATAACAAAATACTCCTCAACACAACATTTTGAATTATACACATTAGCTTTGCTAGTTAAATGAAAAATTACCAAAAACCACAATGGCATCCACTCCAAGTTTCTTGTCACTCAGGTCAGTACAGCTAAAAAGTGGGGATATGACATAGGTGACATCCAGCTGGTGGCAAGTACTCTTAGCGAGCAAGCACTTACCGTCTGCTAGACAACGGGTCTCTTAAGACCTTGAAGAGACACTCTACACATGCTACTATGCAACATGAAATCAATGGATAAAGAAGTTGCTTCATAATCCCTCTGTATGAGCTCAAACTCCTGGCTGATGTAACTATCATAAAATAATCTAATTTCTCTACCACAGTAAAGTTGAAAGGTTTAAAAACATGCAAGACTCACATCATTTTTTTAAAATACGGTTTTAAAGTTTCATTAATTGAGCTACAGAATTCCTTTCTAGAAAAAAATAATAAAAAGTGCCCCCAAAGAAGCAATTTCATTTAGCTATCTTGAAGCATGCACAGATATGAATAAAATTCCCAAAGCCTGTGATCTTTCTACTTAAGTGTGGTAATTAACTTCTTTAACTAATATGAGTAGCTATGCATATTTTTTGTTTCTTTTTTCAAGATCCTGTTCTCAGTAGTAATTTAATATTATTATTTAATATAATCTATAAAGTTATATCATACACGATCACTAACAAGCTTAATATAAACATTTTAGCATTTAACCTGGTAGAAATAATGAATTTTATATTTTTAAGGGTTGTGTTTTTTTCCTAAGGCTTTGAAAAGAACGTTATTTTTTTCACAAATTAAGCCCTGAAATAAGCCCATCTTTATCAAAGTTAAAAATTCTCCTGCTATGTATCAGATCCAGCCCCACCAAGTAACCCGGGAAAGGACAGGAAAGCCAGAGGAAGCCGACTTACAAAACTGAAACTAAGCAGGTGTCTTCATTGTTAGAAGTGAGCACAATGGGGAAAAAAAAGTAAACAGACAGCCAAAATCCTTCTTATTTCTGATACCTGAAAATCTACAGCTAAGCAAAAAAGATGCATCCATCTATAAATCTATGTATCTGTCTTGGTGTACAGGAGAATCCGTCCTTTAACCTGATAACAAGCAACACCACAAGAAAATTTCCCTGGCCCAAAGGAGCCTACCCCTTACTGGAGCCCTGCCATTACGGAGCGCACGTCCCCACCTGATTTCTCCACGCTCAGACCTACTACATCACAGTACACAACTTTCCCGTGACACGCCAAGTTATTACCCCCAATGGGACCTTTTTACATGCAGTCTCCACAGCGAACAAAAGTTCATTGTCAAGCTCAGCGCTTGGGCCCAAACAAATATCCAAAGGGGGTAGGAGGAGGAGAAAGGGGGGAAGCACTCCTATCCACAATTATAAGATTTCCAGGCAATCACCGTTACTTACAATTAAAAAGTGGGAACAGGTGTAGGAGATATCATACTTTGATAGCTGAACAAAGAATATTACAGCACGTGACTGAAATGTGATGACATTTGTTCACCAATCGAAAACAAAAGCCACTCTCCAATGGCACTCTTTCCTCCACCCCCAAGATTTAGGAACTTGGAAATCTCTCCATATTGAAACACATCTGTTCATAGCCTCATTTTTGACACTTGAGAAGAAGTTGAATGAAGAGCTCCATGCATTAATCCAATACGAATTCACCCAAAAAAACCTCGTCGTATAATCCCATCAGCACCCACCAAACTGCAGAAGGTGGTTGGGGGGAAAGCTCTACCGACAGCGAAGCTCGGAATAATAAAGAACAGAAAAAAATCAAAACACACACTACCACCAAAAAAAAAAAATCCCGCAGGAAGGCAAGTGAAGAAAGGAGCATGCACAAGAGGACTACACCAAATGGCAGAGTCCCACATAGAGCCCCACTCCACCTACACGGGCGCAGGAGGGAGGGAAAAAATAAAAATAAGGAAGTGTCCGTACCCAATGCCGGAGCAGGAGTGGGCACCCCCGGCCCCCGGCCCCGTACCTGTGCGGGAAGGGCAGCCCCAGGGCGAGGGGGGCAGGCCCGGCTCCGGAATAACAAGTTGCTGAAGAAACGGAATTTTCCCGGCGCTGCTCGGGCCACAAAGACGAATGAAAGGAAGGAGGGAAGGAAAAAAAAAAACGCAGCAGCGGCTTTACTACGAATTATCCATCATCGAGAGCGGCATCATTTCCCAGATAATAATAAAACTTCCCCGACAGTATCGCGGCGAAGGACCCGACCAAGAAAAAAGGGCCTGGAAATAATCATCCTGAAGGAAACCGGAGGGGAGGGGATAAGCCTCCCTCCCCCACCCCATCCCCAGTGCAATGTGTCATCTCCTTCCCCTGCTCCTCCCCCCAACCCCAATGTGTCACCTCCTCCTTTTACCCCAAGT